AAACTGCCTTGCTACAATAGAATTCAGCAAACCACATGTTCCTGTCTTGGAAATTTGTTTGTGAGTGCTTCTGGTCAAAAGTAACAGCCTAAATTACAACATGCTCTCAAAATGCTTTTTTGGGCCTTAAAATGCTTAAAGTGAAATGATGCTGTTTCCTGTGGTTTCCCCCAGTAGTTGGTCAGCAAACTGCCTTGCTACAATAGAATTCACCAAACCACATGTTCCTGGCTTGGAAACTTGTTTGTGAGTGCTTCTGGTCAAAAATAACAGCCTAAATTACAACATGCTCTCAAAATGCTTTTTGGGGCCTGAAAACGCTAAAAGTGACAGATGCTGTTTTCTGACCAACTACTGAAGGAGTTTCCTTCAGTAGTTGGTCAGAAAACAGCATCTGCACTTTTACAGGAAACTGCCTTGCTACTATAGAATTCACCAAACCACATGTTTCTGGCTTGGACACTTGTTTCTGAGTGCTTCTGGTGAAAAGTAACAGCCTAACTTACAACATGCCCCCAAATGCTTTTCGGGGCCTGAAAACACTAAAAGTGACATGATGCTCTTTTCTGACCAACTACTGAGGGAAACTACAGGAAACTAGGTTACTACTGTAGAATTCACCAAACCACATGTATGTGGCTTGGAAACTTGTTTCTGAGTGCTTCTGGTCAAAAGTAACAGCCTAAGTGACAACATGCTCTCAAAATGCTTTTCGGGGCATGAAAACACTAAAAGTGCCATGATGCTGTTTTCTGACCAACTAGTAATGGAAACAACAGGAAAATACCTTGCTACTATAGAATTCACCAAACCACGTTTCTGGCTTGGAAACTTGTTTCTGAGTGCGTCTGGTCAAAAGTAACAGCCTAACTTACAACATGCTCTCAAAATGCTCTTTGGGGCCTTAAAATGCTAAAAGTGACATGATGCTGTTTCCTGTGGTTTCCCTCAGTAGTTGGTCAGCAAACTGCCTTGCTACAATAGAATTCAGCAAACCACATGTTCCTGGCTTGGAAACTTGTTTCGGTAACACTTTATTTGAATGGGGGTGAATAAGACTGTCATAACACTGTCATAATCGTGACATGTCATGAACATTAATGAATGCTTATGACAGTTGTCGTTAAGTGATATTCGGTAAATTATGTCACCTTTGATTTAAAGTTGACATTGTTTGAGATGTCTTTGTTATGACAACTTGACATAAGCCAAGACAACATACCCTGTCCTAAACATGACATAGAAGACCTCACTGTAAAACTTTAAAAAACTATTTAGCTTTATATCTTAACATGACATTAAACTGTCATATGTGGTTCATTTTGACATTAGCTGTCACATTAGCTGTTATGATTGTGTCCTAAACATTGTGCTTTTCATTATGATGTCATTAAGTGTAATGACTGGCAGTGGCCAGATGAGTTTATAACTGTCATATATAATTTGAACCTGTCATTAAGTGTAATTACATAGTTAAATCAGATTATAACAGTGTCATGACTGTTTTCTATGAATTCAAGTAAAGTGGAACAATTTGAACCTTTCATTAAGACGTCATTAAGTGTAATTACACTGTCAAATGATTTAAATACCTTAACAAAAGCAACAGACAAGTCAAGAGATTTTTCCTTCATGTATTTCACCACAAAACAGAAAACATAAACTGTTGCATCATTTGTATTACTTCTCAAACAGAGGGTTCCAGAGCAGATGATGTTTATCTAAAGCAGCATACATGTGAGAATTGATACAACACAAGCAATGATCTAGTCAGGAGAGAACATGATTAAGTGCCATGAGGCAAAGTTTGAGTCTGATATTTGATGTTTACTTGACTTGTTTTTTTAAATCATGAAAAAGTCTGCCCAAGACACCATTGTAATGGCGTACACCTAACCAGTGTAACCCTAACCCTAACTCTATCATCTTCAGATGAAGCTTCAGTGACTCAGGAGTACGATTACCTCTATGGCGCCATACTTCCAGCTTGTAGTTCTGCCATGCACGCTCAATATGCTGAGTATGAGCACCAGTCTCTCGGTCAACAAAGTTTTTTTTATGGCAGATAGAATACTGACCATATCCATACTGAGCAAGTTGCCCCTTGTAGGCACGCCATTCATCAGTGAGAATGGACGTTCTGGGTCTTATATAGCGTCTAATTTGGCCTATAAGGGTTTGTCTTGTGCAATCCCTGACAAGTCTCAGAATGGGTCTTCTGGAATTCCCGTCAACCTCCAGCATCCCGAAGACCCACTGCCGTTCACGGCGCCAAGTGTTGCCACATCGACCACGATGGTACTGGAAGTAAATAAGAAAAGACAAAGACTTTAATAAGCTTTGGGTTTCAATATGTGTCCTTTTCACATGCACTGCAGGATAAAGTATTATTCTGCATTTTAAAAACAGGTCAGAGGGTGTGCTGCACAATCCTCATTTACAGCTTGTATATCGTCACCCTCTTAAAATATTTGCCTAAGTCATATTTTCAAGTTAAAAAAAAAAACAGAAAAAACTGAACCAAATATAGATATTGGTTCAGGTTTTGAAAAACTTGAAAATATGGCATAAGCCAATATTTTAAGAGGGTGATGATAATGAATTATTAATACTGACTGCCTGATTGTTCTCATGCTGATTGAAAATAAAACATTGCGGAACAAGAGCATTTGCATTTCTCCTTGACAGTAATCATAGAATGTTAAGGTTAACCATCTATATTTCTCCATTTTCTCCAGTGTTTCCACAACATGTGACCACCAATGTGCTGTACTCTCCTTAGTGCAAAATGGGTGTACTCTTCTTATTCTATTGTTTTCCAACAGATTTTTAAATTTTCTTTTCCCCATTCAGCCCTCTAAAATGTCTCTTCTATGTTTAAAGCAGCTGTGAGGAACTGTAATTTTTTTCTTGACTTTAACACCTCCCCGTGAACATGAGCACAACTGCCCCTTGTCATAAAATCTTGGTTTAAATATAGTACAGATGCATACAAATATACAGCCCACCTTTCGTTTGTGGGCAAATTTGCTCTTGTCAATAACAACAAATCGATGACGACCACCAATCCTCATTCCTCTTTTCCTCAGACGCTTGAGGGCAGCAATGCACACCTTCAAATGAAGAAATAAAACATTAGCAAGTTGAGTTGTAACAATGCCTGAAGTATGGAATTTGATAAATATGTATGCACAAGTTTAGGACTAAAGTTACATTGCATGTGTCACTGAGTGTACCAAATAATTGTGTAGCAATATTGAATCCAATTGTCTACAGTAGTAACTTATCAAGCATCTATTTTTATCCTATTCAATTATAGTTAGAGACTAGTATGTAATGTGACAACCTTTCTGAGTACTTTCGCCATTTTTGTCAATGTCCTGGAGCTTGCTGCTATCCCCTCAGTGATCATGGCAAGTTGCTTCAACTGCAAACCTTGTGCAAATCTGAAGGAAGGAGAAAAGTCATTAAGAAACCTAATTGACATGGCCTGCATAATATCCTGTCATTGAATTGGGCTGACATGAAACTAAAAGTAAACTGTACTGGGCGAGCATGAGTTAGTGCCATTCCAATTTGTACTGTATGAGGTGCAAGAACTCCATTACTTTAGGTTATATTTTACAGGACATATACACTCACCGACCATTTCATTAGGGACACCTGTGACATTGTCAGAAAGGTGATAATTATACTTTATGTTTATTATTGAGGTTGTAATGGGTTGTTCTGGTGTACTGGAGTGCAATGTATTGAAAAGTGTTCCTAATATTTTGTCTACTATGGACAATACTATAAGGAACACGGCTCAATATGATGTGCTCCAGTACACAAGCACCATCCACTATGTAAAGTATCCTACATCAACTACACATCTATAAATCACACTGCTAAATATGTTATTTAAGAAACTTAAATTTGATTTCTTTAATATATGAATACTGTACCTGTGCATGAACTCAAGCCATTTTGTCAAAGGGATGTGAGATTTGCTGAATATTGAGCCACTGCGTACAGATCGTGGGGAACTTTTATGATGCTTACAGACCTGAGGAAAAAGAAGGCAAAATCCTGAGAAGTAGACTACCACACATAAAAATATCAAATAGCATATGATACGGGATAACTAGAACATATTGTAGTGATTTCCAAAAGTTTTGTAATATTAATGCTACTGAAGTTAGGGCTAATTTCAGACTTCTGGCTCTTTAATATGACATGATCCAATTATAACGTTACACCCAAATGTTACTACTTGCTGCTATGTTGTCTGCCTTGCTGGCTAATAACTGTTCTTAAATAACAAACGATAACATAGCTAGATTAGAAAGTTAGAGTTAGCTTCTGCTTACCACCACAGCCCATCCTTGACATGGCATGTCACCAGATGCATCCTTCGATTGCATTTTGCGCACTTCATCGTCCTCTTCATGATACCACGTTTCTGCATCCATCTAATTATTCTTCTTTTGTTCTTCTTTGTATCTGAACGCCTAATAGTTTTTAAAAGTTCTTCCATTAGCGCCATTGCATCAACTGTTCACCCGCCTCATCTGGTTGCGTGTGTCGCGGTCGTGCCTAAACGGTTGAGAACCACGTCACTTCGTCTTCCTCGTCGCTCTTTTGTAAAACAATACACGCTCCACTGACCACACAGAACAGCGCCCCCTCGTGTGTCTGCAGGGAAATGTCATCTTCATTCATGAAAACANCCACCATGGGCTTAGTTAATAATAATTAGATGGGACCTAAGAGTTGCTATGTTATATCCATGTCCCACTTTAATGTTATATTTTAGTATTCTCTCTAAACATCAATGATTTAGATCTCTACAGCCATGTATAGCTTTCTCGTTCTCCACAGGTTATTCTGTGGTCTTCTCTGGTTTTGTTAGATATTTAGCCTCTGAAACAGATAAGAAAAAAATCTACTTACTGTACCATGCTGGTTCACTGTGCATCCTCTACCCAAGCTGGTTATGTTTGGTACAGCTTCTGAGGCAGGTAAGAAAGGACGTTACTTGCTTGGCATTCTCCTTCCATGCTGGTGATGGCAGATATTGCTGCCCACAGAGGCAGGTAGTTAAGGAGCTAAATCTAATATACTAATATAACCAGCCTAGAAGGAGGATGCACAGTAAACCAGCAGTATGATAAGTAGGATCCTTTCTCATCTGCTAGTACTACAGGACCTATAGGGTGCCAGATCAACAATGCCATTGCATGCCTGGAAAAAAAATGACTTTTTTTGTTTGTTTTTCTATTGTTTTGTGAAGTGACCACAACGGATGGAGTTATCCGCCGCTACAAGAATGCCCTCCGCATATTCAACAAGTCTGGATCCATCCTTTGCCAAACTTAATGTTGACCGCAACACAATTGCGAGAACAGCTGTAATTGCTGAGCTAGCGATCACATTTCCAGACACCTTCAAGGACATGCTCCCAGGTGATGAGAAGATGTCGGCATTTGCAGAGCGGTGCAGGGGGGCTATAACAGAGGAGATGGCTGAAACCATCACAGCAAAGAAAAAAAGAGGAAAACTCCTCCCAATAATGTATAAATACACTTAAGACTGTTCATTGAACTTGTTTATGTTAAACAAGTTATTCTGTTTATACTGTATATACTGTTGGAACCCTCTGTTTGATGAGAAATAATACGAATAATGCAACAGTAATGCAACAATAATGTTTTTTTTATGTTTTGTGGTGAAATACATGAAGGAAAAATCTCTTGACTTGTCTGTTGCTTTTGTTAAGGTATTTAAATCATTTAACAGTGTAATTACACTTAATGACGTCTTAATGAAAGGTTCAAATTGTTCCACTTTACTTGAATTCATAGAAAACAGTCATGACACTGTTATAACCTGATTTAACTATGTAATTACACAAAATGACATCTTAATGAAAGGTTCAAATTGTTCCACTTTACTTGAATTTATAGAAAACAGTCATGACACTGTTATAACCTGATTTCACTATGTAATTACACTAAATGACACCTTGATGAAAGTTTTAAATTGTTCCACTTTACTTGAATTCATAGAAAACAGTCATGACACTGTTATGAACCGATTTAACTATGTAATTACACTTAATGACATCTAAATGAAAGGTTCAAATTGTTCCACTTTACTTGATTCATAGAAAACAGTCATGACACTGTTATAACCTGATTTCACTATGTAATTACACTTAATGACAGGTTCAAATTATATATGACAGTTATAAACTCATTTGGCAGTGTAGTTACACTTAATGACATCATAATGAAAAGCACAATGTTTAGGACACAATCATAATGGTCTTGTGACAGCTAATGTCAAAATGAACCACATATGACAGTTTAATGTGATGTTAAGATATAAAGCTAAATAGTTTTTTAAAGTTTGACAGTGAGGTCTGCTATGTCATATTTATGACAAGGTATGTTGTCTTGGCTTATGTCAAGTTGTCATAACAAAGACATCTCAAATAATGTCAACTTTAAATCAAAGGTGACATAATTTACCGAATGACACTTAACAACTGTCATAAGCATTCATTAATGTTCATGACAGGTGTCATGTCACGATTATGACAGTCTTATTCACCCCCATTCAAATAAAGTGTTACCCTTGTTTCTGAGTGCTTCTGGTCAAAAGTGACAGCCTAAGACACAACATGCTCTCAAAATGCTTTTCGGGGCCTGAAAACGCTAAAAGTTACATGAGGCTGTTTATAGACCAACTACTGAGGGAAACCACAGGAAACTACGTTGTTACTATAGAATTCACCAAACCACATGTTCCTGGCTTGGAAACGTGTTTCTGAGTGCTTCTGGTCAAAAGTAACAGCCTAAGTTACAACATGCTCTCAAAATGCTTTTCGGGACCTGAAAACGCTAAAAATGACAAGATGCTGTTTTCTGACCAACTACTGGGGAAAACTACAGGAAACTGCCTTGCTACTATAGAATTCACCAAACTACATGTTTCTGGCTCGGAAACGTGTTTCTGAGTGCTTCTTGTCAAAAGTAACAGCCTAAATTACAACATGCTGTCAAAATGCTTTTCGGGGCCTGAAAACGCTAAAAGTGACATGATGCTGTTTTCTGATGTAGTGTATTATCATTCACTCTGAAGGTTTGGAACAGATGACCAGTAAGGGGCCCAGGGTCAGAAAGATCAGGGTCAAAGAAGATATTTATAGCGTAGGTCAAGGATTGGAAAAATTCAACAAGAATGTCTCTCTGTTGTCTGTTTGACTTTGTCTCACATTTCACAAACACCACCAGGTCTATATAAGCAGGGAATTTGGGGCTGTTTTTCAGAGCAGTTCACATTGGCTGAGAACCCTCTCCAAGAATTCTAGATGCTTGATAGATGCTGTATTTCTTGTAGTAAACCTTTTTTTATGAAAGCAAGATGGTGTCATCAGAGACTTCATGACCTTCACATCATCGCTATTTAGGAAACAACACCGACCAACTACTGAGAGAAACTACAGGAAACTGCCTTGCTACGATAGAATTCACCAAACCACATGTTTCTGGATTGGAAACTTGTTTCTAAATCCTTCTGGTCAAAAGTAACAGCCTAAGT